TCCAGATGATTTCTAGCTAATAGAGTAAACATTAAAAAAATACATCTTGGGCCAAATTCTGCACTCACTCGCATTCAAATCTGGAGAAACTTAATTCAAGTCAGGGGGGTTATATCATTCTTATAAATGCAACCAGAATTTAATGCCTTTAAAAAAGTAGAATTAGTTATTATATGTATAGAGATGTGAATATGTTATGTGCAAACTGTAATTTTTATATTGTAAATGCAAAAATTAATATATTTGTGCATGTTTATTTTCCAGATACTATCATAATTTTGTTTCCAGTTGTCAGTTGTAATTATGTCTGTTTTTAATCTTACAGTTTAAGATTAAGTGGGAGCTGGAGTTTCCTGAAAACAGGCAAAAATAAAAAGCATAACAAACAAATATTTTATTAATGGTGTAAGCCAGTGTCACACATTTAGCTGCTGGAGGACTAAGGATGAGTTATACAGCCATTCACACTCAGCCTAATTACTCTTCTCTAAAGTAGCCAGTTTTCATACCCAGAAAAAGATCAAATGTTACCCTTGGATATGTGCCTATAACCTCTTCCTGAATTGTGGTGATCACACAATCACCAACAGAATTCAACCCCATTTATATATGAAATATGACTCTATTCAGATAACAAAATTGTCCAACTTCTCTTAGTTTTACAGTACTTATGTACAGGGCAAATATATTGTGGCAATTTGAATTGAAAGGGGGCTCTGAAATTGAGGGAGATTTTAAATACCTTATTGAAACAATTTATTTGTTGGGAACCAACAGCATACTTAGTGCTGCACAAAACCATCAATTTTTTTCCTAGAAGGCAATGCTTTCAAAATGGTTTTAAAACAAATCTAAAGTTAAAGGAATCTCCTACAAAGGGTGTGAGGCCACATAAACCAGTGTGTGTATCTGTAGGTATACGCAATGACCAGAGCTTAAAAATCTTGATACCTGCTAGCTAAAAAACTATATTTTCTAGTCACAGGTTGATGCCAGAGATGAGTGGGTAATACATGAAGAAAATGCATAGCAATGCTCTAGGAAGCACTCTTTTCTAAGCTAATGGGAAAGGGAAGGGTTCTCATTTAGCACTGTTTTAGGGTCCTTGTTAGGGCCCCCCTCTTTCTACATCAGCTAGTTTAATAGGTGAATGGCATATTTGAAGGCCCTTCATCACCATTTGATTACAAAGGGGAAAAGGATATTTCTTTCAATTCAAGTCCTAGTCCTTCTGCCTGTTGTATGCATTATATCTTGGCTTATTTATTTTTTAAGGCTTAAATTTCTGATTGCTGTCTCTATCAGTTATTGTTAGTTTTACAGCTGTCCGACAGGACTATGAATAGCAGAAGTAAAATGGAGCAGTCTTGTTAAGTTCAGTCTGCTTGCAAATGGTATGAGGAGCAGGGAGAACTGCTTCACTTAACATCTGAAACACTTTGCTTGTGACCTCCGGAGCTAAAATCTTTTCTTACAAACAAATTTGAATGTCTCTGGAAACTAATAGTGTAGGTCTCCCACTCAGGCAACATGAGTACATTTTAAAATCTTATATACTGATATGTCACTATAATAAGAATAGGGTAGATAGATAGATAGATAGATAGATAGATAGAGCTACTATAGACTTGCATACTGATTTGGGACAATTCTGTGTATTCATCTGTAAAATGGAAATAATACTTATCTAAATTTTCTAACAGTAGTTTGATTGTATATCCAGATGTTAATGCATTTAAAAATAGTGGGGGGAGGTGTGCGTGTGTGTGTATGTGTGCATACATACATATATATTCATACAAACACACATCACAATATAATACTGTTATTAAAATAAAATAATCACGGTTGATAGAGACCTCAAGGGTCATCTAGTATAACCCCTAGATAAACACAAACATGCTTATCAAGACTTTTTTTAAAAACATTCAAGACAGGAAATTCCATATTTTCCCTGGGCAACTTGTTTTATATATGAGATGATTCATTCTTTATTCTTTCTACTACAGTATGAAAAGTGACTGATTGACCAACTCCAAGCATGACAATGTGATCATATATCAGGGGATTTAAAAAACTGGTGGTAGTTTTGAAATAAAACTATTTTGTGTGCAGTGAGTGGAAAACTAAATAGGAGTGGGGAACACTGATGGAAGCATTATTGAACACACCCATCATTTATGATTATATTGAAAAGTGATGTAGTCCAGTAAATGATCATAACAGCATTAAATGGTATTGTTTTGAAATTGTTGCTACTGTCTGAAACACCCTTGTATAGACACACACATATGTATGTGCCATATGTTATATATACATATGTATATGTATATATATGTGTGTATATATATATATGGCAATTTTGTAATTATATATATGTATATAGTATATTATATATATATAATTACAACAATGCCATATATAATGCATATATGGATATATGTCAACCTTTTGTAGTAGTGCTGCCTCCTGTTGTCCCTTATTGTTTGGACCACTACGTTTTTCCCTTTGCTTTTCCAAGAAAACTAAAAGATAACAACGTAACATTTTGTAGCAAGAGTCCATCTTCTATGTGGTTCTAATTAACTACCAAATTCCTTAAAGAATGCTATAAAACAGTGGTTTCCAACTTTTTTTCATCTGCAGACCCCTAAAAAATTTTAACCGAGGGGCAGACCCCTTTGGAAATTTTGAATGGAGGTACGGAACCCGCTGAATTGTAAGTGTGGGTATTTACGTACTTTTCATTGATTATAGTTACCTTGTGCAGACCCCTTAGAGGATTAGACATAGTTTGCGAACCCCCAGGGATCCACAGACCACAGGTTGAAAACCACTGCTAAAAAACAACAGTTAATAACTTTCATGCTATTAACGTGTACATAAAATATGAATGCCTATGGATATGATTCTGTTCTATTATCTTCATTAATGATTTGGATGATGGGATCAAGGGCATGTTTAATCAATTTGCAAAAGACACCAAGTTGGGTGGGTGGAGTTGCAGGTACTCTGGAGGGTAGGTCTAGGATTCAGAATAACCTAGATCGATTAGAAAAATAGCCCTAATCAATCAGATGAGATTCAACAAGGAGTAACTGCATGCACAAGTACACTAGAAGGATTGGACAGACTACAGTACTGCAGAAAAGGACCTGGGGGTTACAGTAGAGCATAGGCTGAGTATGATCCAAGAGTATGCTCTTGTTGCCAAAAGGCCAACAGCACACTAGGTGGTATTAACAGAAGTGTTGCTTGCCCTTGTGCTCTATTCAGCACCAGTGAGGCCTCACCTGGAGCTCTGTGTTCAGTTTTGGGTTCTCCACTTCAAGAGAAATGTGGGCAGATCAGAAAGGCCAGTGGAGAGCAACAGATATGATCAGGGGCCTGGGTAGCAAGATTTAAGAGGAAAGGCTGAAAGAACTAGAGTTATTTAGTCTGGAGAAGAGAAGACTTGGTGGGTTGTCAGGGGACACATGATAACAATCTTTAAATACCTGAAGAGAGGACAGAGGTAGAGATGGGCCACAGGGGGCACAGGACTAGGAGCAATAACTTTAAACTGCAGCAGAAGAAATTTAGGTTGGAGATTAGGAGGAATTTTCTGACTAGGAGGGTGGTCAAGGACTGGAACAGGCTACCCAGAGAAGTTGTGGGATCTCCATCCTTGGAAATTTTCAAGACCAGGTTGGACAGACATGTGGCAGGGTGGCAGCGATGGTTTAGTCATGGACCATCCTGCCCTGAGCAGGGGATTGAACAAGATCACCTTTTGAAATCTCTCCCAGCTTTACTTTCCTGTGATCCTATATAGGGAGGATTTTTTTTCTGTTTTTCCCAGAAAATACCTAGAAGAATGGACTCCCATTGTCTTCATTTACCTTTGAGTTTAGGATTTAGTTGTTTTAATTTTTCATTTTGTAATTTGAATCCTAACTGGCTTAGAAACTTAAACTTCATTTTCAAAATGACTCGGTGCAGCTTCTGTCTTGTGGGTATATGAAGTGGGGGAGGCTGGTATGTGTGTGTTTGCGTGCATGTAGAGGGATTGCGTATGTGTAGAAAGTAGTACTTGCATGGGCATGTGTATATAGAGGGTGGTACATGTGTGTTTATGTGTTGGTGGTACTTGGGTGTGTGTGCCTATGCATGGAAGGTAGTATGTGTGTGGGTTTATGTGGAGGTACTCATGAGTATATATTACATGGAGCATGGCACTTATGTGTGTATATGTATGGAAGGTGGTATTTGTATGTGTATGTGTAAGCATGAGTGTGTGTTCATGTGGAGGTGGTACTTGTGCATGTGGATGGTGATAGGTGTGTGCGTTTCTGGCAGCAGTGCTCACGTGTATGTATGCAGGGTGGTGCATGTGTGTTTCTGTGGAGCTGGTACTCCTGTGTCCATGCGTGAATAGATAGCGGTACATGTAGAGAGGGTGGTTTTCATGTGTCTATGTATGTGGAGATAGTACTTGTGTGTGTGTGTGTGTGTGTGTGTGTGTGTATCGAGTTTATGTATGTGGAGCTGGTACGTGTGTGGTGGTACGCATGTGTATGGCGGTGGTGTTCACGTGTATGTATTAAGGGTGGTGCATGTGTTACTGTGGAGCTGGGTACTCCCTGTGTATGTATGAATAGAGAGCGGTACGTGTGTGTGGGGGGGTGGTTTTCATGTGCCTATGTATGTGAAGCTGGTACTCGTGTGTGTGTGTGGCCCGCGTGTGTATGGCGGCGGTGCTCACGTGTATGTCTGGAGGGTGGTGTGCGTGGGTTTATGTGGGGCTGGTACCCATATATGTGTACGTATGTGTGACTAGATAGCGGTACGCGTGTGTTTGGCGGCGGTGCTCACGTGCGTACGGAGGGCGGTGCGTGTGTGCATGTGGAGCTGTTCCCCGAGTGCGTGTGCCCGTGTCCCCGCGCGGGGCTCAGGCAGGCTCGGGGCCGGGCCGGGCCGGGCCGGGCGGGGCAGGGAGGCGGCGGGCGAGCGCCCCCGGTGGCCCCCGGGAGAGCCGGGCGCGCAGGGAAGCTCCGGGGGGGCAGCCGCGGCGCTGGGGGTGCGGCCGCCCGGGGCCGCCGGAGGTGTGTCCGTGTGCACGGCTGTTCCCGCTGCGTGTGTGCGACTGTGTGACCAGGTGTTTGCCTGTGCGTGACTCTGCCTGTGTTGTGTGCGAGACCCTGTGTCTGTCACCGTCCGACCTCGTGTGTCTGTGTTGAGTGTGTGCGCGCGTATCTGCATGTGCGTGTGTTTGTGACTGACCGTATGCTTGCCTGTGTGTGACTGTGCCTGTGTTGTGTGTGAGACTGTCTGTCACCGTCCAACCTTGTGTGTTTGTGTCTTCATGTGCATGTGTCTGTTCTATGTGCATGTGTGTGTTGCGTGTCTGGTGCGTGTGTGTGTTTGGGACTATCTGACCATATGTTTGCCTGTGTGTGACTGTGCCTGTGTTGTGTGCAAGACCTTGTGTCTGTCACTGTCTGACCTTGTGTGTGACTGTGCGCGCGTGCGTGCATGAGACTGTTCATCTGTTGTGTGTGTTAGGGTGTCTGTTGCATGTGTGTGTGACAGTCTGTGACTGTATGACTCTGTCAGCATGTCTGTGTTGTGCCTGTGTGTATGACTGCGTCTGTGTGTTGGTGGCTCTTGTTACCTGTGTGTTTATGACCATTTCTCTGTGCCCGTGTGTTGGTCTGTGTGTGACTGTGCCTGTTACGTGTGAGACCCTGTGACTTGTGACTGTGTGTGTGTAGCCTTCCCCCCTGGCAGGGTCCCAGCCAGCTCAGAGCTCCCTGCTCTGTCTAGGCAGGAGCTGAGGTGGAGGTCAGTTATGGCTGGGGAAAGCCCTCCCCATCCCCCTGCCTCCCCCACCCCAAGTTTGGGGTCACTTTGGTGCATATTTGATGCTGCAGGACACTGCACTGGGGCAACCCCAGGGGGGTGCTGGGTTCTGCACTGCCCGTCGCCTACCTCTTCCCCCACAACCCCTGCCCTCCCTCAGGGCTGTCTCTGCGCCTGCCTGGGCACAACTCCAGCCACAAGCTTTCCGTGGTGGTTGTGGCTGGGAGGGAGGGAGGAAGGGAGAGAGGGTGGGTTTCTCTCTGCAGGCAGCTCAAGCGGCAGGCAGCTCAAGCTTCGTGGATTCCCTCTCCAGCTTGGCCAGAGGAGCAGGGAATAAGGTTTCCTTGTTGCTTCCGATGTGTTTGCATAGCCAGGGGTGAGTCAATGCCCCTCTGTTCAAGAGGGGCCTTGGCCGCGCCATGCTTTCTGTGGTGCTGCTCCCGAGTTCGTTGTGCAGGCAGGCAGGCAGTCAGTCACAAGCACTTGTAGTAAAAAGCATGAGCTGTAGAAGAGCCAGTCACTCAGAAGTGTGTGAGCTGTACAAGAGTTTAGGATAGAAAGCTGCCCCTGATCAGCCCCTGACTTGGAAGTGCCACCTGCTTTCCACTGTTGCTTTTCAGTGCCACTGAAAACCTGCCTGATTTTACTCTGGACCATAACACAAAATGAATTAATACTTGTAAATATCCCTATCAACGTATAGGTATAGATATCTCTATTGATCTATAGAGATATTGATGATCAAGAGATTTACAAGTATTAATTTCATTTTATAATTTGGAGTAAAATGAGGTTTTTAGTGGTGCTGAACAGCAGTAGTGGAAACCAGCTGGCACTTCCAAGTCACTGGCTGATATAAATGTTATATCTATAGTTATAATGTAATCTGGAGTGCTGTGTCCAGTTTTGGACCCCCCACTACAAAAGGATGTGGACAAATTGGAGGGAGTCCAGCAGAGGGCAACAAAAATGGTTTGAGGGCTGCGGAACCTATCTTGTGAGGAGAGGTTCAGGAAATGTCCGTCTGGAGAAGAGAAGACGGAGCGGGGATTTAATAGCAGCCTTCAGTTACCTGAAGTGGGGTTCAAAAGAGGATGGAGCTAAAATGTTCTCAGTGGTGGCAGATGACAAACAAGGAGCAATGGTCTCAAGTTGCAGCAAGGGAAGTTTAGGTTGCATATTAGGGAAAACTTTCTAACTAGGAGGGTAGTGAAGCACTGGAACCGGTTACCAAAGAGGTGGTGGAATCTCCATCCTTGGAGGTTTTTAAGATTCAAATAGACAAAGCTTTGGCTGGGATAACCTACTTGGGGATGGTCCTGCTTTGGGATGGTCCTGCTTTGAGCAGGGGGGTGAACTAGATGACCTCCTGAGGTCCCTTCCAACCCTAATTTTCTATGATTGTATGATTAATTTTCACATGCATTTATGCAATACATAAGTATGCCTCTTTACCAAACATTGAGATAAACATAAGATTACTAATGCAGCAATTTGCTTTAAGAAAATGATCACGTTGTCATGCTTAGAGTTGGTCAATCGATCACTTTTCATACTGTAGTAGGAAGAGTAAAGAATAAATCACCTTTGGGTCTAAAGGGAACATTTTCTATGTCTAAAAAGAATGTTATGGTAAAACACACATAAAGATGGGCTTTAAAATAATTTAAGGCATACACAAATGATTGCTGAGTGAGTTAGAGTGGATTATGGTGGATTATTCTTTAGAGCTATGTTATTTAATACCCCTTTGGATTGCTTTGTTCAAAATTGACAAAGTATGAAAAAACCAACTACAGGCTTCATAAAAATAATTCTCTTCACATTACTCATCAGTACTGTCTTTAGTCGTTAGGGCAAATTGCAGAACAGATTGCAGCATTGTAGTAATTAAGTGGAACCTTATTTTATTAAAGTTAAATTTCATGCTCAGTTAAACTTTAGGAATAGAAAAGCACTTTCATGTGTGTTTCTTTCCTAAGTACTTGCTTATTGCAGTTTAAAATATGTTAATACCTTTCTTCTCCCTACAGTCACTTTCTACTCATTCTGATTAATCAACTGTAAAAGGCTACAACAATAATTAAACAGCCTTAGAGCCAAAGATTATATTTTATAGGCAAGAAGTGCTTTTGTCCAGGTATGTCAGTATTTTGGTGCGATATTTCAGGTTAAAAAATCATCTTCATTTCAAAATATGCAGAGTGAGTCATAACAGGTGAATCCTTCAAGTGATTCCTAACAAGTCTAGTCAGCAAAAGAATTAAAAATCCCATACATTTTTAAAATTGAATGATGGCTTTCAAAATATACTTACTTCAGATATAAACTGCTTCTCCATACAAACTTGATGTATAATCTTAACTGAATATGGGTTCTTTCATTTTTTTTTTCTGCCAAAATATTGCAGCTTTACATTAATTGAAGGCTTTTTAAGATTGGTCATGGTGTGGACCAAATCTTAATAGCTTGCAAATGTCGGGGGAAGCTTTCTGTGAGCCAATTGCTTCATATCACTGTAGCAACTACAGAAATTGCTTACATGGGAATGTAATGGTGAGAAAGCATTTACTGAATTTCTATTTGTGTTTTCAAGCAGTTGAGCAGCAGGAAATAAGTAGAAGAGCCAACACCATGTGGGCAGCCAGCTCTCTGTTTTACCAGCCAGTGCTCCACAGACCACCAGTAGTTTACAGATCACTGAACCCTGTGGCAGTTCATTCAGAAAACTTATTTGTACAGTCAAACTGCTTGTTTATTTTTGGAGGGGGAAAGGTAATTTTTAAAAAAAGAGTACTTAATATTTACTGTACCCTGTGGAGTTGGTATAAAGAAAAAAGATGTTAAGAGAGTAGAGCAAGTTTCTGATCTTTGTGTTCAGTATTTTATTGACTGGAAGCTTTACAGCAGTGGTAAATAATACATAATAGAACATGTCTTCTGTTTCAGAGAGTTCAGACCACAACAGGTTAGAATGTTTTTGACACTATGGGTATCTGCTTTAAATCTCTGGGCTTATCTTTTGAATCATGTGTAGGTGTTTGCACCACTAACAGTATTAAAATTGCATCGGGCTCAATAGAACCCTTAGAAAGATCTAATGGCACCCTGGTTGAGAATTGCCGCTTTACAGTAATAAAAGCAAGGTGCAAAGAAGAAGAGTATGATGTAAAACCAAGGTTAATTTTTCCGTTTCAGATTATCACTAAACTGAAGGTCTTTTAACTAATGTCTGATGAGCATTTTGAATGTTAAAATCAGCAACATTATGTCAGCTAATTCTTTGCTGCAAATCTGAAGATTTTTTGGCTGTTTTTTATACATCTATATCAGTGTATTTGGGAATGAATACCCTGCAATAGTTCAGTTTTTCAAAATATGCTTCTTTTCTAGTTATTGGGGGGGTGGGGGGGAAGATAAATTGCTGGTACAAGAAGGAACTGTGTAAATGACCAAAGCTTGGCTCTGGCTTTGATGTCTGGAGAGATCGTCTACCTTTTAAAAACATGTTTATATGATAAATTTTCTTCTTCACTTAAAAAGATTCAGTGGAAAAAACAGCCTCAATGTTTTAAGTTGGGTCTCTTCTGACGTGGCTCATTACAGTGAGCATGTAGATGTTTCCTGTCCTGGACTTACTGGATATAAATGCAGTGTTAAGAGTACAGTTAATGGCAAACTGCTTTTTGCTGTTGCTTAATATCAAAGAAGATGTTGGTGGTATTTTAAGTGCAAGACTGAGCATATCAACTCACCAGCATGATGTTAAATGATTCAGAGGAACCTGTTCTTTCATTTTAAAAGATGATGACCTGGTCTTCCTCCAGACAAGAGGATAAGAAAGATGGTAAAACAAAGCCATAAACATCCTGCTGTCTGCATGAGGGTCCCTTGTATGCAGTTAAATCATGTCTTGTATACTGTGATGACTGCTTGTGTAACACCTCTTTTGTTTCTTACAAAGCCTGTGGAAAAGTAAAAAAATAAGTAAATTCCAATTGATTTTTCAAGTAGGTTCCAGCATGGCTCCTACCAGAGATGCACATGCACCTTCTTCATACACAATATTTATTTTGAATAGCAGTGTCTACCATGGTCTCACATACCCATTCCCCTGGGAGCAAGAGACAGAACAGAATGTGATTTGGTTGGAGCATCTGCAACACTTTATTAGCTCCCTCCATGGTTGCAAGACTGCACTTGGACTAAATTTGGGGCAAAAAACCCAATACTTCCAAATCTG